GCTGGCTCGGTAGTAAGGTGGTGGGGATGTGCTCCGGCCGGCTCGGTGGGGAGGTGCTTCGGCTGGCTCGCTGGGGAGGTGCTTCCGTTGGCTCGTGGGGAGGTGCTGGGGAGGTCCCTCTGCCGGCTCGGTGGGGAGGTGGTGAGGAGGTGCATTGGTCGGCTCGGTGGGGAGGTGCTTCGGCCGGGTTGGTGCAGAGGTGGTGGGGAGGTGCTTCGGACGACTCGGTGGGGAGGTGGTGGGGAGGTGCTTCGGTCGGCTCGGTGGGGAGGTGGTGGGGAGGTGCTTTGGTAGGCTCTGCGGGGAGGTGGTGGGGAGTGCCGGCTCGGTGGGGAGGTGGTTAGGATGTGCTTCGGCCGGCTCGGTGGGGAGGTGCTTCGGCCGGCTCGGTGAGGAGGTGGTCAGGAGGTGCTTCGGTAGGCTCGGTGGGGAGGTGGTGGGGAGGTGCCTCGGCCGGCTCAATAGGAGGGTGGTGGGGAGATGCTTCCGTAGGCTCGGTGGGGAGGTGCTTTGGCCGGCTCGCGGGGAGGTGATGGGGAGGTGCTTCGGCCAGGTTGGTGGGGAGGTGGTGGGGAGGTGCTTCGGCCAGGTCGGTGGGAGGTGGTGGAGAGGTTCTTCAGTAGGCTCTGTGAGGAGGTGCTTCGGCCAGCTCGGTGGGGAGGTGGTGGGCAGGTGCTTCCACCGGCTCGGTGGGGAGGTGCTGGGGAGGTGCTTCGGTAGCCTCGGTGGGCAGGTGGTGGGCAGGTGGTGGGGAGCAGCTTCAGTCGGCTCAGTGGAGAGGTGGTGGGGAGATGCTTTGACCGGCTCGGTGGGGAGGTGGTGGGGAGGTTCTTCGGTCGGCTCGCTGGGGAGGTGGTGGGGAGGTGCTTCGGCTGGCTCGGTGGGGAGGTGGTGGGGAGGTGCTTCGGCCGGCTCGGTGGGGAGGTGGTGGGGAGGTTCTTATGCCGGCTCGGTGGGGAGGTGGTGGGGAGGTGCTTCCCTGGTCTCAGTGGGGAGGTGCGTCGGCCGGCTCGTTGGAGAGGTGGTGGCGAGGTGCTTCGGCCAGGTCGGTGGGGAGGTGGTGGCGAGGTGCTTCGGTAGGCTCTGTGGGGAGGTGCTTCAGCCGGCTCGGTGGGGAGGTCGTGGGGAGGTGCTTCGGCCAGCTCGGTGGGGAGGTGGTGGGGAGCTGCTTCAGCCGGCTCGGTGGGGAGGTGCTTCAGTAGGCTCGGCGGGGATGTGGTGGGGAGTGCCGGCTCGGTAGGGAGGTGGTGGGGATGTGCTTCGGCCGGCTCGGTGGGGAGGTGCTTCGGCCGGCTCGGTGGGGAAATGGTGGGCAGGTGCTTCGGTAGGCTCGGTGGGGAGGTGCTTCGGCCCGCTCGGTGCGGAGGTGGTATGGAGGTGCTTCGGCCAGGTCGGTGGGGAGGTGGTGGGGAGGTGCTTCGG